AACTCCCGCATCCAACCCCCTCCCCACCCAACCGAGTAGAATTACAAACATATCCCCAAAGGGCACCAATTTCCCCACTTGGGTAATTTAACCAGAAAATTTATTGCTGTCTTGTAAATAGATGAGCCTGCTCATGTTCCCAGAATTCAGAAAGAGGGGGTTAACAGGGGGAAGGAAATTGGCAAGATAGGATGCTGCAGGGCTCCCATTGTGCATGCCTGCTGTTGGGTGCTGCCCTCATGCACTGCATGCACTTTTTTTCTGGATGACTGGATTGTTGAAACAGATTTTAAGTGAAAATAATTTTGAATTAACTAATTTTGAGCAATTTGTCATCCAAAAATAATAATAATAATGTGCAAGCAGCTGCTTGTCATTGCTGGGAGCTGTGAGGCGCGCCCAGAAAGCAGCATGACAGGAGCCTTGCAGCATCCTATCTTGCCAATGTCCTTCCCCCTTTTCACCCCCTCTTTCTGAATTTTGCAAAAAATGTGCAGGCTTTACAAGACAGCATGACATTTCTGTTCAAGTTATTGCATCCTGCATCTCCTTATTCATAACAACAGCTCTGCAGACCAGCAGCTTATAATGGAACAAGTTGCCAGACAACTTTTTTTCTGAAAGGTTTCACTCAAATTATTCTTGTAACCATTCCGTGGCACTTGGAACCATAAAACTGCATACCATTTGAAAGATACTTAAACAAGCTTTAATGATTTGATGCCTTTTTCATTGTCACTGCTCAATTTCCTATACCAAGCTATTCCAAGTCATAAATCAGTTCCTTTTTTTGGCCCACCCTGTATATTGGTCAAGAAGAAATGCTGTTATTTTATAAGTATATATTGAAGAACTAGTTGAAGTCTTGTATAATAAGAGCGTGTCAACATATAAAGAGACAGGTCTTCTTCAAAATGCAAAGAAGGAAGCTCAAACAGAAGCTATATGCACTACGACTTATTCAGTCTTGACAAAGATCAAACGCGTATCTCCGCACATCCTTCCAGCATCAGCAGTGAATCCCACGCCCCGATGAGATCCAATTCCTCGTGCAGATCGGCTTAGTGATTAATCCCATCAGTAAATAATCTTCAACTTCTTCCTTGTGTCAACATGGTGTATATATATATATACAGATCATGACTATACGACGCGCTACTATCAATTGACTGACAAATACAAAAATAAGTCCTGTGGATGTTATGGACATATCATTATCAAATTTGTGCTGGGAATAATAAGTAAGGCCGTGAGGGAGAAACGAAATACAGTGAGACCCCCAGATGCGGACATAATTGGTGCATCAAGAGTGTCCCTATGTCGGATTGTCCCCAAGTTGAATTTTGTTTTCCCATAGACTTACATTGTATAATTTTTATTTTTCTTGCATAGATCATCTTAGGTTGGAAACATCTGTATCTTGCAATTAAGCCTTATAAAAATCAATTTTCCTAAAATTTATTTTGGAATTTAATCCTTCAATGTCCCCAGGTTGAGTCAGTGTCCTCATGTTGGGTATTTTTTATGATTTTTTTTTGTTAAAAATAAATATTGTCCAATCGTCCCCATGTTGAGGTGTCCGCATGTGGGGGTCTCACTGTAATACTATACTGACGTAATCATGCTGACAGGAAAAAATAGCATTCTGCGCTGCAAAAAAATAAGGAAATACGAGCCACGATACATTGGAATCTCGTTATACCGAATTCCTGCTTCGAATATGTTATGCATGTGCCTACTTCATGTAAGTGCAGTTTTTAAATTGTTCTTTAGATTTTTAACTTTCTACAAAATTTTTTTGGTTCTAATTCATTTATATATTTGTTGGGATTCTACCTGATGTTTCCACAGAATATCCCTCTGTGATTCATGCAATATACCAAATTCATGGGTACTTCCAATTTGTTGTGAAGTCCTCACTTCATGCGTGCAGTGTTTTTAATTTGTTTTTAGATTTTCCCATTTTTACAATGCTGTATTTTGGGCTCCAATTTATTTGTTTGGTTAAATAAACTCTACTTGCTATTTCCACAGATATACCCACTATGATTCATGAAATACACCGGATTCATGCTTCAAATTTGTTGTACAGTCCCTACACTTATTCAGAAGTAGATAAGTGATTTTAAATTTTGTAAATTATTTTTTGTCGATTTCCACAATATTTTGGGTTCCAATTTATTTGTTAACCTTGCGAGAGAAAATCCCACTGCGATTCATGCAATACCAGTTAGCCCTTGGATGGTGCAGGATTCCTTTGCCATCCTGCGGCAAAGTCTTGATTTTTTTTCAAGGGGAGGGGCATTTCAGTTTGGGATTAAAGTCGTTAATTCCAACACTGGATTACTGTCCTTGAGCCTATCCTGGAACAAACATGTCAAAAAAAATCTTTCCGCACTTCACAAGTGGACCAACCTCCTACAGGAAAAAAATGATCAAGTCCCAACATCTGGGGTAATACATAAAGACAAGGTTAATCCTGACTACAATATTCCCTGAAAAGATTATTCCAAACTGACAATGAAGTTGGGCCTGAGGACTTATTCCAGACACCCTTCAGTTTGACCAAAGGTCATAGAAATGCCTCTAGGTTGCCAAGGCCCAAGTCAGGAAAAATCTGGGTGCGGAAAATCCCATTTTCTCAAGAAGTCCCCAATGTTAATCCTATCCTGGTATTGCATAAAAAAATGCCATCCACACAGTGAGGAATTTTGTTTTAGTCAAAATTTTCTGCAGGATTATAAATAAAATTCTGGACTTTTTCCTGACTTGGGCCTTGGTTCAAAAATTATGTACAGTTGAACCTCTTTAAGTTGAACCTCCCTAAGTCAAATGCCTCCCTAACTCAAATTTTTTTTCGATAGTTCCCATCTGATTCCATTATAAACACTGCATTAAAAAATTTGAAGTCTTTTGCTCTCAAACCTCTGTAAGTCAAATTTTCTGAGGCCTTTTGGCTACTATTTCCTCAAAACATGAAAGAAAAAATCAATGAAACAAATGATTTTATGCATCTTGAAAGGAAGTGAAAGACTGATCAAGCAAATTAACCCCTGCATCCAAGTACATCAAGCTGAAAACTCATTAAGAAGCAAGTTTAGGCCCGGAATATCCTCATTTTCAATTTCCTGCATTTTTAAATATTATCCTTGCAGCAAAAAAACAATTTTTTCCCTAACTCAAAACCTTGTATGAAAACCTCCCCAAGTCAAATTTTTTTCCTGGTCCAAAAAATTCAATTTAGAGATGTTCAACTGTATTTTTTAATTTGCTGTCCTCATGGGAGCAAGATTTTGTGAAAACATCCCAACTTTGCTGCACAAGGGTTAAAAAGCTGCTGTGGGGAGATAATATTATAGATTTCTCCTGTTGCAGACAAAACAACTTTTTTCCTAATCTCTCTCCTTATAACAGGAAATAACAGTTTTCCTGAAAATATCACTGATTTCCTCTTATTCCTCAGCAAGCAAGTCCTGCGCCTGAAGAAAAAGTTCCATTTTTCCTTTCCTTCTTACAAATGCCGAACACAAGTTTTAATGCCACTGGGTTTATTTTACAAGTATAAGCTTGTTTCATCAAACTTCTATAAAGGTACCCACAAAATTGTTTATAATAAAATACACTGAGACACCCACATGCGGATGCCTTGACATGGGGATGATTCAACATGGGGAAATTTATTTTTTAGCAAAAGAATCATAAAAAAGGCCCAACATGAGGACACTGACTCGACCTGGGGACATTGCAGGATAAAATTCCAAAATAAATTTCAGGAAAATCAATTTTTATGAGGCTTAATTGCAAGAAATACATGTTCCCAACTTAAGATCTATGCAAGAAAAATTCTTTGGTACTTATTTCCCATCATTTTCCCATCCATTCAGCTAATTAAAAAAAAGCCCCATAGCAGAGAGGGACTTCCTTTCTAGCTCTCTTTATGACATGGATGTTATTTTTCCAGATGCCAACTTTTCAATGTACTGTACAGAGGTACACTATTCAATGTTCCAAATGCTTTTATTGGTCTGAAAATATATTCATTGCATCAAATTCAAGTGGCAAACAATTTTTTTCATGAAATTTTGAAGAAAATATCTTCCATAAAACACCAATTAAGTTATATAATGTAAGTCTATGGGAAAACAAGATTTGACTTGGGGACAATCTGACTTAGGGACACTCTTGATACACCAATTATGTCCTCATCTGGGGGTCTCACTGTATATTAAATCAAGATTATTGTTTAAAAAATTGATTTTTCAAAATAGGATATCAATTCCTTCAAGCCTAAGTTTTCCCTGGAAAAATCAAAAAGTTTAAAACACACATAACACAATTTTCCAACAAAAAAAAACACATTCATTACAGATAGGAGTACAGCAAAAAGTTTCTTCAGTGAAAACAAATGTATTTATTCCCATAAATGCAGTTGGACCTCACCTTTGGTCAAAATGAGAGGGGCCCATTGAAATTTTAACTTAATGAGTTTTTCAGTTTTTTTAGATCCTTTATGGCTAAGTAATTCAGTTGACAGGATGCTGAAATTCACAGCAATTGTAAATTTTACCAATGAGTCCTCCACTTTCTTTTGAAAAATATCATGTTACATTTTTTATTGCTCTTCTTTTTCCTGGGCCCTCGAAATAATACGGGAAAGTCCTCTATAGAAATATTACTAATGGAGGTTTGATAAGGGAAAATCTTGGAGCTAGAAATGTGCATTACGGAGTATTACATTTTTTTGATGGGAATTCAAAAATTACTAAATGAAATTTGACAATAGGGTGTATTTCTTGGGTCTAGTGTGATTGAGTTTGTTCATTCATGAATTCTTTGCATCCAGCTTTTCCAGGATTAATTATATGGCCTTTTAACATTGGAAATGAGAAAGGCCATTAACCGAGGCACCCTTGTACCATATTCACGATTTATTCTTTTTTGTGTCCGCCGTAATTTCCTGTGAATTATCTCGTGAAAAATAAAACGGAAAACGAAAAACAAAGAACAGGGGACAGAGTGAAGAAAAGACTGCATTTTTTTTTCGTGCGACACGCGATGATTCCTGTGCTGCTGCTGATTTTCGTGACCTCATCGTCAATGTCGTCAGTGATGACGTCCGGAAACCGAGGTCAAGTGCACGTCAGCGACGCGTTGTACCTGAAAAGCGACCCGATCCAGATCCTGACTGCGGACACGTTCAACAAGAACGTGCTTCGCAGCAAAACAGCCTGGATTGTTGAGTTTTACAGCACCTGGTGTGGTCATTGCAGAAACTATGCTGCTACTTGGAAGCAACTGGCTGTTCAGGTTTATGGTACGTTTTGTTTTTTCCATATTTTTTTTTAGCTTTTGTACAGTTTTCCCCAATCTGTGGTCCACAGACTGGTACTAGAAAGTTTGTGATCAAGGATCACGAAATAGTAAAAAAAAAAAAAAATGCAGGCAATCAGCCTTTTGAAGGCCAAGAACACATATTCAAAGGGTTTCCTTGAATATATGTTCCTTGTTTTTGTATAATTTATTTTATGATCAAGTTGAATGCAAAGAATAAGAATACAATGCACAAGACGGATTTGAAATAATAGCACAGGAGTAACAGATTTGTGCACACAAATCATCAGGAATAAAAGGATAATTGTTGTTCATAGTTTAGGACAGACTGAGACTCTTAAAATTGAATCATTTGTAGTTTCGATTGAGGAGGAAACCTTCATTGGTTTCCTGTCTTGTTTTCTCCTCAACACATTCCACAGAAGTTTTTTTGCTGGTTTATGGGACATATTTTTGGCGTGATACATTTATCAAAAGTAGCAATGAAAAGTTTGTTATCTTTATTTGAAAATTTGGAAAGTCAATTTCAGTTGAAATTATCTGATGAAAAATAAGATTTGGCTTTTCTCCTAATAAATAATACCTCAGACAAATTTTCACCTTGCATAAATTGTTTCGATTTTATCATTCTAAGAAACCTTTCTTTGTGCCCCCCTTTCTATTATTTTTTGAAGACATTCCAGAGTCTAAAGCAGCTTCATTGGTTCTGAAATTGATTTTTGCAAAAAAGGATAAAGTTTGTAAATTTCTGTCATTAAAGTCTTTAAAACATTTTTTCATCTACATTAACAACAGTTTTTTTCAACTTTGCTGGTCTGTAAAAAAAATTTTGCGGAAATTTGTCAGTCAACAAAAAATTACTATGGAAAAAGAGAGATTAAAGAACAGGGAAAAATCGTCGATCATAAATTCATGTATATTTGAGGAATCTAAATTTCAACCAGAAATTTCATGCCTGTGATGTTCTAAAATTCTCGATTTTCTAGATCCTCGTCCTTTTCTCACTTTAAAGTGTTTGCTGCTGAAGTGCTGATCAATTTTTCCAGCTTTCAAATCTTTAAAAAAAGTATTCTTCAGACTCGAAATTCGCACTTTTCATAAACGAACGTTATTGCTCATTTAATAGCATCGTATTGAAGTAAAACACACGTCTACCAGAGGCTGGCACAATATTTTTTTCGTGGGTTAAAAACGTGTTGGTGAGGCGTATTTTAATTTTTTGGGAAAATTAATGAAACAAAGATTCATTGAAAGTTTAAAAATGTTTTTTCAAAAAGGTTGGCGGAAAGTGATTCGTCTAGGAGCTATTGATTGCGCCGATGAGCGGAATACGCCGATTTGCCGCACGTATCAGGTCATCGGGTACCCGACGATTCTTCTTTTCCCGCCGGGTTTGACCTCGAAAAAGTACCTGGGCGTTGAAATGATTGGCGCTGCTCGTCACAGTGTCAGGGAATTGCGTCGCAAAATGGCAGACTACGTGGAAGAGGTCAAGCTCAAGTACGACATCGAGCACTTCCCGTCACTCGAATTTTTCCAGTGAGTTCTTGACCTTATTTTCTTTCACGATGTCAATTTTCTTTTTAAATGCATCACTCGCCTCTCAAAAATTGGAAGGTATTTACAGTATGTAGTTTGTCTGTTGAAAACTTTATGACGGAGCTTTCTGAATAACTTCTACTGTTATCCGTGTTTCAATTAATAATTAAAATAAAGCACTGTACTGTATTTGCTCCACTCATTTCAGCACAAAGACAAGATTTGCAAAAAATCAGTCTCTAGATCCGAAGTTTTCATGATCCCGCATAATTTCCAAAATTGCTAATTTTTCATTTCTGAAGAATGGAATCCAGAAAATGCATTGCTTTTCAACGCTCGAAAGAACATTGGGAATATATGTAGTGATAGATTATTGAAAATCAATATTTTTGTTCTTCCTTATTAAATCATCCTTGATCTTTCATCGATGTCCAGGAAATCACGGTTGAATTTTATTTCGAAAGAATATTCGATTTTCAGCAAAGTATAAAATGCTTCTTATTATGTGCACTTGAAATTGCGAAGACAAACTCAGAAACCCAAAAATGGACTTGCGGAGTTTTTGAGTCAGGGAAACCAGCATTTTTTGTAGAAATGGTTTTGGATAAATCACAAAACGTTGATTTTGGTTCTCTTTTTTCTTGCCTTTGATCACTGAATAAATGAATTGACAAATTGCTGAACTTCTAAGCGATTTTTTGCCCAATGAATCACTCTGTTTCGAAAAGCAGCATCTCGTTATTATTCCATTGTCTTGGTCCTGGGTTTAATATCTTCAATATGCCTATCAAAATTTGAGTTATATAGAAGTACGAGGGGAAGTCTTTGAGTTGGGAGAAATCTGTATCACAGTGTTCCTAAGGGAATTTCAGGTGAGAATTTGGTGAGAATTAACAATTTGATGCTGAGAGTTTTGCGTTGGAAATGCTTCCAAAATTACTATTTATTCCAAAACGTTCCGAAGGTTTTTTCTTCTTTGTTCAATTCAAAGAAAACATACAAAAATAGGCCGCTGAAAGTATTTTAATAAGTTTGTCAAAGAATAAAATTTTCCAATATTTAGGAATCAGTCACTCGAGTCACCAAGAATCTTTTTTTTTTTTAATCTGTTCATTTTTCCGTCATTTTTACCGTCTGAATGCTAGGAATGAAACATTACCAGCGCAGAAAGATGGAAATGAGACCCGAGTGCTGATTTTCGAAGTGGATGGAGACGAATTGGGTCGAGGCGTGATTTTGGACACTAGTCTTTTCAGTGGCATCCGCGCGTGGCGCGTGAGGATGACCAGCCCCCTGGCGGCAGCATTCGGAGTTAAATCTGCTCCTGTGGTCATCATACTGGACAGCAACAACCACGCAGCAAAAGTGATTCTTTCTTTTTCGTTTCGTTTCTACTAAAATTTAATTTACTGCTGTGCATATACAAACAAACCTTGCGATTATTGTGAGAAAAAGTGACGCCTTTTTCCCCTGGCTTTCCATAGACTGATCCGCTTTTTCATAACTGAAGGCTATTTAAGGCAAAATTTTCTTCTTTTTATTGGGCAGCCATTTCGAGAAGATAACCTTCGTTGGTCGAAAACATAAGAAGGTGCAAATTTTGAGAAAAATGCAACTGATATGATAAATTATACTGTACATTGAACCTTTCTAAGTTGAATTTCAAGGGACCAGCAAACAAATTTGACTTAGGGAGGGTTTGAGTTATATAGAATCATAGATGTTGAATATACTGTATAGAATCAAGCATTTTTATTGTGGGAAACGTTGAAAAATTGCACTAAATTGTAACTTTTGATATTCTGGATCTTGAATTGCTTCTAAAATGAGTTAACAAGGCACTCAAATTGGAGACAGGGGTTAACTTGTCCAATTTAGTCTGTCACATCCTTTCAAAGCACATCAAATTCCCTTTTTATTGCCTTTTTTCTTTCCTGTTTCAATAAAATAATAGCCTGAAGGCCTCAATTTGACTTAGGGAGGTTCAACTTAGCAAGGTTCAACTGTAGTAAGAGCGCAAATTGTATTTTTTTGTGAACTTGTAGTTCGCGGGTTACCAACCCTCAGAAAAATGTTTTGCTTTTGAGTAACTTTCAGTAAAAAAATAAAAACGGAATAAATCTTGGTTTTCTTTAAAAAAAATCAAATAAATGTTCAACCCAACATTAAAATCCAAGTCAGAGCCAAGTAGAGCATATATATGCTGCAAAGAATTGTACCAATGTTTAGAATAGTTTTGAGAAAGAGTTGCGCCATATATTATTGAGTAAATTTTGCAAACGCATAAATACTTGAGCAGGCCAAGTCACATGATGTTCATCATTTGAATACGGAATTCATAATCGTTTTCAAGAGCATTTGTGGTAATTTAGAATAATTATTTCGATGCTCTCTGAGTTGAATTCAAAAGGGCTCTAAAATATTTGACTTGAGGAGTTTTCAATTTCGAAAAATTCGTATTTGAATAGGATTAGGCGAAGTTGTATGGCGCATGTTTAAAAATAATATTCATGATCACGTTCCGGAGTAATTATACTTATTTAAAGACAGTTGAGACTCTCCAAGTTCATTTCAAAGGGACAGTAAAAACGTTCAACACATAGAGTTTGTAAGTAAAAAAAAAAATAAAGATGGTCTGATCTGTGCTGACAAAAAAAAAGGTTTTCCTGGCACACAAAAAAAAAAACCTGTAGAAAGTTTCCTAATCCCCTATGAAAATCTGTAAAGTCACAATTTGAAAGTGTTTTCTCGGTTTTTTTTGGAACATGTGCTGCTCTAAAATTAAGTCTCAGCCATTTAATTACACAAATGCCTTAAAACCTCGGATTAAAAAAGGTTAAGATTAAAAAGTTTTGATTTAGGAGCTTTAAAGATTTATTGGAATTGAGAGAATTTGCCAGAAATTTACCGGACATTTCAATTAAGAATTTTAGCATCGTTTTACTTAAACCCCAGAAGTTTAGTGATATGCATGAGACCAAAAACTTTTTTCAAAATGAATGCATCAGCAGTTCTTCATTTTAAAGCAATTCCATCCACCTGTTTTTTTTTTCTCGGCTGAAAAATACGCGGATAGTTGAAAAGACTACTGGTTTATTCTTGCTGTTGACCTTCCCATGCATAGGCTTTCTTCGCCATTTGCTTCCACTGATACGCACAGCATATCTCTCAAATTTATGCTTATCAATCTTCCGGAAGTCGCCATTCGTTCTCGAACTTTTTGAATAATATTTAAAAATGTTTCCTCAATGTTTTTGGATTTTTTTCTCTCAAATTGGATGCCTCAAATTCACGTTTATCAGTCTTCAGGAATAAGTCGCCATTTGTTCTCAAACATTTTAAATAATTTTTAAAAATGTTCTCTTATTTTTTTTGGATTTGTTCTCTTAAATTGGTTCTCTCAAATTCACGTTTATCAACCATCAGGAATAAGTCGCCATTTTTTCTCGAAGATTTTAAATAATATTTTAAAATGTTCCCTCAGTGTTTTTGGATTTTTTCTCTTAAATTGGTTCTCTCAAATTCACGTTTATCAATCTTCAGGAAGAAGTCGCCATTTTTTTGGAACATTTTATATAATATTTAAAAATGTTCCTGCAATGTTTTTGGATTTTTTCTCTCAAATTCACGTTTATCAATCTTAAGGAATAAGTCGCCATTTGTTCTCGAACATTTTAAATAATATTTAAAAATGTTACCTCAATTTTTTTGGAATTTTTCTCTCAAATAGGATCTCTCAAATTCACGTTTATCAATCTTCAGGAATAAGTCGCCATTGTTTTCTGGAACATTTTAAATAATATTTAAAAATGTTCCCTACATGTTTTTTGATTTTCTCTCTCAAATTGAATCTCACAAACTCACATTTATCAATCTTCAGGAATATGTTGCCAATTTTTTCTCAAACATTTTGAATAATATTTTAAAATGTTCTCTCGATGTTTTTGGATTTCTTCTCTCAAATAGGATCTCTCGAATTCACGTTCATCAATCTTCAGGAAGAAGTCGCCATTCGTTCTCGAGCATTTAAAATAATGTTTAAAAATGTTCTCTTAATTTTTTTGGATTGTTTCTCTCAAATTGGTTCTCTCAAATTCACATTCAATCTTCAAATTCAATCTTCAGGAATAAGTCGCCATTTTTTCTGGAACATTTTAAATAATATTAAAAATGTTCCCTGAATTTTTTGGAATTTTTCTCTCAACTAGGATCTCTCAAATTCACGTTTATCAATCTTCAGGAATAAGTCGCCATTTTTTCTCGAACATTTTAAATAATATTTAAAAATTTTCCCTCAATATTTTTGGATTTTTTTCTCTAAAAAAAAATCCATCAAAAAATCCATTTTACGTTCATCAATCTTCAGGGAATAAGTCCCCATTCATTCTCGAGCTTTAAAAATAATATTTAAAAATGTTCGTTCAATGTTTTTGGATTTTTTCTCTCAAATTCACGTTTATCAATCTTTAGGAATAAGTCGCCATTTGTTCTCGAACATTTTAAATAATATTTAAAAAATGTTACCTCAATTTTTCTGGAATTTTTCTCTCAAATAGGATCTCTTAAATTCACGTTTATCAATCTTTAGGAATAAGTCGACATTCGTTCTCGAAAAATTTAAATAATATTTTAAAATGTTCCTTTAATGTTTATTTTTTTATTTTTTCTTTCTTCGCTTCAAATAAGGTGATGGACGGTTTGAGTCTAAGCACGAGCGCATTGGTGGATGCGCTGCGAGGACAGATCGGTGGGGACGACCTGAAGGAAACGGCGCCCACGTACAACGTCGACCCGACGGCGGCCACGTTAGGAGTCGGTGGCGGTGCAGAGATTGGCAGCAGGAGTGGCGTTCGTGGTAACGACGACGACCATGACGTAAGTTGGATTCAAATAAAATGAAATCTCTTGATAGCCCAAGACACATGTTTTGTTCAGATTCGTCATAATTAAACAGACTAATGCTTCCACTGATACGCACAGCATATCTCTCAAATTTATGCTTATCAATCTTCCGGAAGTCGCCATTCGTTCTCGAACTTTTTGAATAATATTTAAAAATGTTTCCTCAATGTTTTTGGATTTTTTTTCTCTCAAATTGGATGCCTCAAATTCACGTTTATCAGTCTTCAGGAATAAGTCGCCATTTGTTCTCAAACATTTTAAATAATTTTTAAAAATATTCTCTTATTTTCTTGGATTGTTTCTCTCAAATTGGATCTCTCAAATTCACATTTATCAATCTTCAGGAATAAGTTGCCAATTTTTTCTCAAACATTTTGAATAATATTTTAAAATGTTCTCTCGATGTTTTTGGATTTCTTCTCTCAAATTGGATCTCTCGAATTCACGTTTATCAATCTTCAGGAAGAAGTCGCCATTTTTTCTCGAACAATTTGAATAATATTTTAAAATGTTCCTTTAATGTTGATTTTTTAATTTTTTTCTTTCTTCGCTTCAAAAAAGGTGATGGACGGTTTGAGTCTAAGCACGAGCGCATTGGTGGATGCGCTGCGAGGACAAATCGGCGGGGACGCCCTGAAGGAAACGGCGCCCACGTACAACGTCGACCCGACGGCGGCCACGTTAGGAGTCGGTGGCGGTGCGGAGGTTGGCAGCAGGAGTGGCGTTCGTGGTAACGACGACGACCATGACGTAAGTTGGATTCAAATAAAATGAAATCTCTTGATAGCCCAAGACACATGTTTTGTTCAGATTCGTCATAATTAAACAGACTAAATTGCTTAATTATTCCTTTTTTAGGACTTTGCTAATGAGGAATTTTAACGTGTTTCGTTATAAAATTTTTCACTTGTTCATGAGCACGTTTTTATTTCTAGACTCCGGTGTAGACCAACTTGGCAAATTCATCAATTCTATGTAATTCATTCAAGGATTTTAACGAAGAGCATTTTTGGAATTTTTTTCTTTCTTCGTAAAAATCTTCATTTAGTCATGGACATGGACTTATTTTGTAGAGTCAATGTTATTCAACAGTGTGAATTCCTCAATTGTTTCTTTATTAAAAACTTTTAAGAGCAATAGTTCGGATTTTTTCATTCTGATAATCTTTAGTTGGTCACGGACACATTTTAAAATATATTTAGACTCATTGTGATTTAACAAAGGAAAGGCCACAATTATCCCATTTTTAGGACTTTGACGAGGTCGAGGAGTTAAAAATGTTCGTTTAAAAATATTCGCTTATTCACGTACATTTATTTATTTCTAGACTCGGGTGTAAATCAACTTTGCAATTCAATTCCCCTATTTTTTCCATAAGGATCTTGACAAGGATAATTTTGGAGTTTTTTTGTCGTGAAAATTTCTATTTACGAATGGACATATACACTTGCTGTATTTTTTGAATCGTTCTATAAATTCCTCAATTGTTTATTTTCAAGGACATTAAAAAGAGGAGTTATGATTTTACATTTCTAGAATCGTTATACTGAGCCACGGACACATATTGTACTTCTGTTTAGATTCACCAGAGTATGAATGGCACATTTGTTCTACAGTATTTTTATAGGACTTCAACGAGGAGGAGTTGGAATTTCGAAGATTTAAAAAATCTCTATAGTAATGAACAATAAACACGTATTTATTTCTAGACTCTGGTCTAGATCAACTTTTTAAATTCCTCGACTCCCCATTTTTCACAAAGACTACGACAACGAGGGTATTTCATTGAGTACCTAAATTAACGCCTCTTTTTTTTAAAGGACTTATTCGAACAGGACGCGTTGAAACTTTTTTTCGTTTTAAAAATCTCCTCCGCTTATTCACGAACGCGTATATTCATTCCCAGACTCGGTCGTCAATCAACTCTTTCAATTCCTCGTTAATTATTCCTCCAATTATTTTCACCAACAGGACTTTGACAACGAGGAGTTCGTAGTGTACGAGCGCGTGATTTACCAGGCGGACTTGACCAACGCCCTCAAGTACTCTCTTCAACACGAGGTGGCGCTGCATCCGAACCTGACCGGCGAGTCCCTCACAGCGCTGCGGGGTTTCCTGCGCGTCATGAGCACCCACTTCCCGGAACCCCGGGTTCGGGACTCCTTGGCTGCCCTGGGGTCCTGGGTAGTGCCGCCCAGAGAGTCAGTGTCGGCCGACGAGTGGACGGGCTTCTTCGACGCGTTGGACACGACGCGACGCGGGTTGCCGCCGGCTGTCGAGTACGTGGGCTGTCGCGGCAGCTCGCGACAGTACCGCGGGTACCCCTGCGGCTTGTGGACGCTGTACCATGTGCTCACTGTGGATGCCTTTCGGATGGAGCAGGAGGACCTGGCCAGGGGTTCATCATCGGCATCATCCCCTGCAGCAGGAGAGATTCAACCCCAGGTACAGGAGTCAGACCCGTTTGAGTTGATCAACTCAGTCACAATATCACAGTTGTTAGAGACTAAAAAGTCGCAACAAAGAAAATACGAGAATTTCAAATGAAACACAGCAATCAGCCTGGGACTGGCTGGGAGCCTCTTTATAGAGGCCCCAAAAGAATTGAGTATTTAATGATGTCCCAAAAAAATAGTGCAACTGAGAGAATTTTGGACTTCACACACATCATTTCACACAACACGATGATAAAATTAGATATTTTAAGAGCTCTTCACACTTCAAGGAATGGCAGTGGAATGGAATTCATTGTTACATGTTTTTGGAGACAGAAGAAAGAGAAGGAAAAGTGGTTTTCTTTGTGAGCAAAATAGTGGCCTCTGATTGGCTGATTTTGTTGGAATCAAATAAGATGCTGTGCATGGTCCAACAATTCCTTTGGGACTCGTTTTTTTGGTGCTGGTGGCTGATGCAAAGGACCAGTTTTTGGGATGCAGCAGTGCAGGGGGAATTATTACAATTAACCCTTGGACAGCAAAGGGTTCTTTCCCATCGCCGGCCAAAATCGGATTATTTTTGTATGCTGGGGCATTTTAAGTCTTCTGAAGGTCAGAAAAGACCTTCCAGGTGGGCTGAGGCAAAGTTGGGATTAATCCAAGAAAATCCCATTGCTTAGCATAGCATTTTTTTCATTTTCCCACAAAATTTTTCTGCACAAAAAAAAACATAGGATTTTCCCCCGACTTTGTCCTCAAATCCCGGTTGTCCTTTTTTATTTTCTGCCCTGAGGTGCTACCAATTTTGCGAAAATAGTTCAACTTTGCCGCCCAAGGGTTAATATTTACAGGTGCCCATCGCACTCCCCAACAACAGTTGAACCTCTTTGAGTCAAATTTCAAGGGACTAGCAAAAAAAAATTATTTAGTGAGGTTTTAAATTATAGAGGTTTGAGCTACAATACAAAGCTCTTTTGTTCTTGGAAACATAGAGAAATTGCAAACAATTGAAAATGGTGGCATTCTGGGGCTTGAATTGCTTCTTAAATGAGTTGAAAGGATGCTGAACTTGTAGGCAAGGGTTCATTTGCCCAATTAATTCTTTCACTTCCTTTTGAAACACATCAATTTCTGTTTTTCATTGTTTTTTCTTTCTTGTGTAAAGAAAATAATAGCCAACAGGCCACAGACAATTGACTGACAGAGGTTAGAGAGAGAAAGCTTTTGACTTAGGGAGGTTTTTAATGTATTATATCTAAAGTGATTCAGATGGGGATCTGAAAAACAAATATTTGACTTAGGGGATATTGAACTTAGGGAGGTTCAAGACATTGAGGTTCACCTGCATATTGGACTTGAAAAACTTTTGAAAATAATATGCAAGTTCTACCTTCATTATTAATTTTTCCTGAAAAATTAAGCAGAAATTTTCAGAAGAAAATGTCTGCTGGACCTAAAACTGCGGGGACAGATTTTGAAATTCATAAAAAAAGTGTAAATGTGCCAAATATTAATCGCAGACTTCCATGTGAAAAGCATCAATTTATGAAATTAGTTGCTTCACCTGCATCCCCAAAATATACTGCATTTATTTGAATGGCACCCTGCCTTACAAAAGACATACACCTTCATTTTTGGGCTGCAAAATTAAGTTTGAAAGTTATCTGTGAAGAGTTCAAAATTATATGTAATAAGTTCCTAACATGCACATTCCAGTTATTCAATCTACGCAGGTATTAGGTTAAAAAAATCAATTTTATTTAACCCTTAGATGGCAGCAGCCTGCTTTCCATCCCAGAGCAGAAGTTGGACTTTTTTGGTTGGGCCAGCATTTAATTTTTACTCAAGATTATACAATGATTATCCAAGATTATCCATCCTTGCCCACCTGGCAGGGGTCACAAAAGTCCCAAGTCTGCTGGAAAAGACCCAAATCAGTCTTTCTGCATAGTGAACTCCAATGTGGGCTCCTGGCTGTCAATCTTAAATGTAACCCATGTGCAGCAATGTTGGGATGTTTTTGCAAAATTTTGGGTCACTGACCACTGGAGATTTTCAAAAACCTACTTGTGTACCAAGGCCTAAGTCAGGAAAAGTCCAATATTTTTTTCTAATCCTGCAGAAATTTTTAAATGAAAAAATCTCTCACATTGGGGGATTCAGTTCATCTGTGTTATTTTTTTCCTGCATTCCTGGCAAAGGATTTGTTGTGTCCCAAAGCTTACGCAGCTCCAGCATCCGGTTGAAACCAGACCCAAAAGCTTGTTGTATCTCTGAGGCCAGTGAGCCTTGCAAAAATCCCATTTTTGCCTGACTCACTGAGCCTCACTCAAGGACAAGAAGTGGTTATCACTTCTTTGAGAAGTCAGAACCTAGTGTTAAAGGGCCTTTTAACTTTAAATTACCTCATTCAATATTCTGAGCTAACCATTGACTCTGCCATTAAAACAATCAAATCAACAGCCAATTGATGAACTGGGCAATGAGATGATGGCTGCACAATTCAATTCCTTTGCCTGGAATCCAATGGACCCATGACAGGATTGGTACCGGGTCATCTGCCAGTTGTTCAAATCATGGTCGCACACCCGCTGGTTGTCAAGCGCCGGTCAGTCTAACCGCCAGCCAGGGCAGTAATTGGCATTGCCAATCCCCAGTCCACCAAACTGCAGTCTGGTCACCCAATTGTTGGGGCACCCAAACAATTGGGTGACAAGAATCATGCTGGTTCTTTCTGGAATTTTCTTCCAAGAACTGCCCTGGCTGGTGGTTGGACTGACAGGCGCTTGAGGACCGGCGGGTGCGCAACCGTGAATTTACCAACCAGCGGCTGACCAGACACGGACAGGATTTGCATGGGAGGTTCCTGAAAACAACAGAAAATTTGCCTCCCAGATTTTTCCCAACTTAGGCCTTCTCAACCTGGGAGCATTTCAGTGACCTTGGGTCAAACTGAAATGTGCTGCCCCCCCCAAATCCTGACTCCTCAGTGCAATGCAAAGGAACCCTCTACTGTCCAATGGTTAATATTTGAATGGGGAAAAACAGGCCTGTGGGGGAAAAAGTGAGCTTCAAAGATTTAATTTTTTAATTTCTCAGTAAAATTTGTCTTTGGAAAATTTAAAAAAAAATTAGAATTTTTCCCAACTTCACCCTTTGCACACTGTTGTGGTTTTTTAAAATGCTATTCTTGAGTGCATCCAAAATCTGCCAAAAAAGTCTGACTTTGCTGCAAAAGGGCTAAATTGCTTCTCTTTTATATTTTATTGCATAATGTACTTACACATCATCCCTAATTTGGTTGTTATTCCTCAGAGATTTCTACAGTTTCAAACTGCCTGCGCAAAGTATTTACAATCTTTAAAACTCCATTTTGCAAAATCACTGGACTTCTATCAAATATGGAGTCAACTTGTACAACTTGATTTCGGTTCTTCCCCTGATTTCAGATTCTTGAAAAACACGCAAACGGATCAAATGACGAGGTGTACATCGGGGAACTAGCCAATCACAGCCATGGCTCGAGAAAGAGACCTCTGGGATTGGACGTTTTGCGCAGTCTCGTTGCTTTCATCCGCAATTTCTTCAGCTGCAAATATTGCTCGCGACACTTTCAAGAAATGGCGACTGAAAGTCTGCACCAAGTCACCGACTCCAGAGGCGCCGTCATGTGGCTTTGGTCGGCTCACAATAAAGTAAGGGGAATAATGCATAAAATGATTCCTGAGTCTAAAAAGTGTACGACAGACGAAGTGTCAGGATGTCATTTTTAATTTGAAAATGTATTGTCGCATGCATAGCAAAACTGTTAATATAGCTTATGGAACAGACTTGATTTTTTTTTAACAGGCAAAATTCTTTCTGCAGCAAATATTTTTCTGGTCGTCCTTGAATTTTTTTCAAAAAAGTTTTCATATTTAAATATCCAGTAATGATGCATATTTTATTCAACAAATATATTTAAATTTATTTCGCAAAAAATGAGCTTATTTGGTTTTAACATCAATATATTCTCTCTCCAATAGCACACACAGTATTTTTCTGGCCTCTTGAATTTTTTGTAGAGATGACTATTCATATGTAAATATATTTATGCATATTTTATTCAAAAGTTATCTTGATTTTAACTTTGTGAAAAGAGGTTATTCGATTTTAAAATTAAAATGATCTCAACAACTTATATTCTTCTGCTCCCTTGAATTTTGTTGAAGACTTCTCCTGTAAATATATAGATGCATATTTTATTCAACAAGTATCTTCATTTTAACTTTGTAAAAAAGAGGTTATTCGGTTATAAAATCAATATTCTCTCAACAACTCATATTATTCTGCTCCCTTGCATTTTTTCGTAGATTTCACCTGTGAATATATAGATGCTTATTTTATTCAAATATTATCTTTATTTTAACGGCTTAAATTCGGTTATTCGGTTTTAAAATCGAAAGTATCTCAAGAGAGCATATTTTATTTCTGCATGCTCCCTTGAATTTCGTTGAAGAGAGTTTTAACCTTATTTAAAAATTATATTTATTTCAACTTCGTAAACAAGAGGTTATTGAATTTCGAAAACAAATTGATGATGTACGAACTCTTTACTTGATCGAAAAATATAATTAGGTAAACAAGAGACTGGCGGGTGATGTTTCCGAAGACCCGCGGTACCCAAAGGTGCAGTTCCCCCCGGAGGACCTGTGTTGGGGTTGCATGAACCAGGCCAAGGGAACCTGGGACGAAGACAAGGTCTTCAACTTCCTCAGGAAGTACTACGGGGCAGAAAACATCGTCAATTCGAACCGGAAACTCACGAGTGTCATTGTCCTGGGCAACGACGACCGCTTTGAACTAACCAGTGGCTCAAGTAAAACCCGACCCAATATTCTTGCAAAAGTCACGGTTTTCGGACTCATTTTTCTCGTGAATTATCTCAAGTACGCTGTGAGTTGAAATGCACATACTGTATAAACTGCACAGAAATATTTTCAAAGGAAATAATTATTTTGTAAAACGTACGAGAGTAAATTTCTGCAACAACGGTGAAAATTTCTTCACTGTCAATTCGACTAAACGCCTAAAAGAAAATTGTGTTTGCTTTTTGACGAAGATCGAAGGTATTCTTTTAAGTATTTCTGATAGACTTCGTATAAATGGAACGAGTGTTTTTGTGTGTGTTGTTTGTTAAAAAGGTTCTGGTTTTGAGTGGCTTTTACTTCGGTTACTCAAAATAGTAAAAAAGCTTTAAAAGAATAAATCGCTTTTTACGACGCATCGGAAAATTCTGCGGAATTGAAAGTCTTCCTGACTGCGTACTTTCCCCCTATTTGCCTGGATTTATTTCATTTTGTAATTCGAGTGAAAGTTCTCTAAAAATAGCTCTGATTGTCGTCGCTTGGGAAGTATTTTTTTAGAACGGGAAATTTCAGCAAATATTGTACACGAAAAGTTTATTTGTTGGCTGTAAAATTTTTCGGAATCGAACGCTCAGTGGAAAGGTTTTTATTTTCGTATCGCAAGAGTTTTCTCAGAAGAAAAAAACAATTTGCTTTCGATTCTCACAAGTGCGAGAACCTGATAGAATTATGCAAATTTGACGGGTGCAATGTTTAACCTTTTTTTTTTCGTTCGTTTCACGGTGAAAAATTGAATGAGGATTGGAAGGGGGGAAAGCATACGTGAGTACTTGTGTTGATCAGAGAAAAGAAAGTTCGCTGCACGTTTCATTTTTTATTGATTCAGTGCTTATTATTCTTCATTTATTTATTCATTTTTTTTTCTCGGATCAGTTTCTCCCACGAACGAACGCTGATGATTGTTGAGAGAGGGGACACTTTTTTTTTTAACTGACTATCGACGAAGAAAAATTATTCGGGCGAATGTCGATTTCCGGTTTTGCGGTGAAACATGGGAATTAATTTTTAATATTCGCGGGGACGAAAAAAATATTCACGAAAAGTCAGCTTACGAATTCTGGAATACTTTTGATTTGTTCAAAAAACTGTATTTAGCGAGGTTCCCTAATTTTTTAGAGAGGATTTTTTTCAGAATCTTCACAAACGTTGATCGGAAGCGATTTATGAAAATGTTTTTTCGTTTTTGTGATGCAGCGGATGATTTTTATTGCGTGGCGATTGTGAAAAATTATATTCATGAGCGATTTTCGCGAAAGCAATTCCTTTTTTTTTAAATCGATTGCATTCGTTTCAGCACAGGATTTGAAAAAAAATTTGAAATATAAACACTGCTGCTCATTTTCAAGCATTGAAAGAGTTCATTCATTTTCGGCTAGTGCATTGAATTCATTTGCAAGAAACCTTTCGATATTTTTAACGCTTTTCAACCAGCATCTATATATTACAATCAATTTCAGTGGCACATTTCTAAAAATGTTGGTTGATGTCCTGACTTGGATATAGAAAACAATATGAAGATCCACCTTTTAATTTATGGGATGAATATATCGATACGTATTTGTTAAACAACGAAATATTGCGAAAGTTGAAACTGAATCTTCGCAGCAATTTTCTTCTTGATTTGTATTTTATCCCCAATTGCGAAACATTTTGCTATTGTATTTAAGCTGTTGATTCAAAAACATGTTTTGTCTTTTTTATTGCTTCGATTTTATGACGTATTTTTTTCTTGATAAGCAATAAAGACAAAGTTTTGACGGAATAGATAAACTTTCAGCGAGCTTGGGTCTGAATTTAATATCCGGTGCCCAGGTTGCTGTCGGGTTTGTGTCGATCTCCTCCAGTTCCCTCTCGCCCCTTTTGTCCACTGTCCTCCAAGATTCCTTTCAACATTGATTTCATTCCAGCTACGAACACAGTTCCGATGTGTTGAATGTCCTCTGGAGGGTTCAGAAATAATCCTGGGCCGGATTCCGGCAATTCTATCCCGAAAGTCATCGGGATCTGGGCTGCCCCGTAAGCGAAGTCAGACATCATTCCGGATGCTGGGTAAAGAGTAAAACCTGTAGGAATATAAAAAAGAGAATGCATCGATTTTAAAAGCAAGAAATTTTACAAAATTGGTGAGCATAATTTCAGGTAGAACTTTTCCATGAATATTTTATATTCATTGATTGATTGCAGGAAGGTAGAAAACTCTACGCTCGGAAGTTGACGAACACGCGACACCTATTGTTAGACGGGCATTTCGACACGAACACGCTTTAAAAGTTCAATAGGTGTCGCTCGTGTCCCAAGCGCACCCGGAGTTGTTGCAGTAATCAGAAAGAAAAATGCTGTTCTCAACGGAGGCTTCTCCAACTTAACTTATCCACATACTGCATTACATTTTACAGCGAAAATCGTACACACACATACCTAGACCAAATGTAAACCAGACAAAGGGACGAGCAAAATGCGTCTACGGGACTACGGCGCTGTTAAACAAGAGTATATATAAAGAATAAGGCTTACTGCTGGCCCCGACAGTGAAATGAAATCGTCTGCCATCCGGAGACGCGTCAGCTGCAGCTCTAGCAAACCGCATACCACTTCTAAGCAACTCCTTATGATTATCCGGTAGTCGCATCCTGTATCCATACGGCATGAGTACCATACCGGCACAACAATGAACGCTGATGGCAATGGCGCGACCTCTATTCGGCATAGACATAATCGCATTTTGCACTGCCTTTGTTTCAGACTCTGAAGCGGCGCTAGCTCCTCGGTATGCTTCGGAGCAAAATTCGGGCGACGCCCCGAGCGCACCCCAGCGGAAACCGAAGTTACGATTGAGGTCTACTCCAATGCATTTATCTGCGGACAAATTTGCGGAACATAATTAGACGTTTTCTTTGTCTGAAACACCGCGTATTATTTTTTGACTGAATGATGAATTTGCTACAGTAATTACTAGATAGTGGATGGTCTTAATCATCAACTTTCTGTAAATGAACTGTTGAATCAGTAGCGGGTGAACATATAGAATTAGATCATATGGTTAATTCACAAACGATAGCATCTCCTGAATATAGTTTAAGGCAAAGCGCCTCTGCTTGGACATCTGTAAGTACATCCTTGTCCATCACGGATAATTGTTTATTTAATTAATCCTACCAAATATAGGAGGCAATAGAAATGCTATGATAAATTAAAACTTCCACGAATTTCGTTTAGGAGACAACCACCACCAAGTGATTATTTTACTGGACTATACAGTGTTTGTGTCTCTTTCAAAACTTATCTCCTGTTCTCTCGAAGATCCCACGCTTGGGCGTTATATTGAAAAGCGATTTTCCCGAACGAAACTGTAATTTATATTTAAAAAAGATCTACCCACGTTTATTCATCGTACGCAAAATGTAATGTGAATTGTTCTCTCGATAAAATGCAAACAATACTGAGAAGCATTGGGCGAAAAGCAACGCGATGAGGAGAAAACCAAAGATGCCTAAATATTTTATTTTATTATATTTTTTAATTTTTTAAGCTTCTTTCCAGTATTAACTCAAATTAAATACAATGATTCAAACTATGAACAATTTTCACTTGGTTAATTCCTTAATGAAATATATTTTAAAATTAACTTTTCTCCGTGAAAATGATTCTTTAAACAACATAGTACAGTACCAGAAAAAGTAAATAGAACGACACAAACATCAGATATTCACACATTGGATCATGAAACCAATGACGAATTATGTTAAAGCCTCATATCTTCCATTTCCTCAAATATTCAATTTTTTTCGAAAGCAGATTAAAATGTTGATTGGCACACGTCTCAAGTTCCAACGAAAAACGCTAGACTGATTGATTTTTAATGTATCAGCATTACTTTTTTAATGTATCACCCACGAAACACGGCGATAAACAGAAAAAACGCCAGAGAAAAAAAAAAGAAGCAGCAAGGAGAAAGCCACATCCATTTATTGGATATAATTTCATGCCTATATATACGGTTATGCTAATTTTTCAATTCCTCAAGCGTTTCGTTTTTAAAATACAATAATAAGTTTTCGCTATTAGTTTCTTCGTATACGAACCCACGTTCTCGGGTACCGCATTCGGGTTCCGGTTCTTGCGCCAGAATCGCAGTTCCGGATCGCGGAGTGACGCATCATATCCGTCAGGATTGGTCATCGGAGCCAAGTGGAAAGTGAAATGTTCCAACGGGTTCCACACATCTTCATCATGCTCTTCATCTTGCAAATGCCCGCTTTCAGTGAAATTCTTGTTCCCGTTTCTGTTGAGCCACTTTCCGTGATGGAGTCGTCGATGAGTGTCGATCAGATTCTGGGCCAAGAACATGACTGCTGCCGGTGTTATCCACTCTCTGGCATGGTTCCCTTGGAAGGAAAAAAAACAAACAAACAAAATTATGCTGTTCCATACCACATTCTTTCATGCAATTTATATCGAAGCTTGGGAACCTATGGATAAGCCACAAAATTGAAATCAGACGCAGGACGTAATTAAAGTAAATATTCGGGAAAATGAAGAGAAAGACTTATTTTTTCACAGTAAGTGACAAAACCTGCCCTGAATCATTCCGTTGGGACCATGGGAATATAGATGTAAAAGTGGAATTAGGGATTCCATCAAGAATTCCACACTGCATGAGTCAGTGTTTTTCTCAAACAAAAATCGTTTTGATCTACAGTGAGCAACTCTTAAAACTAATGTTATAGTGACTTCCCCAACATGAACCCTTTAATGGCAAAATCCGAAAATATTTGAAAAGTTTGCTTGCCATTCAATATAACAGCATAAGTACTGTGTTACTGTTCACCAAGGGAAAATCCAACAGAAAATCCAGGATATTTTCAAGAGCTACAGGGGAAATACTGTAAATATTTTTTCATATTTTTGAATAAGCTGGAAGGTTACACAACAATAACATGCTGTTTGTCTTTCTTGGCCCTCAGCAAAAATCCCAACTTTACTCTGCACAACTCAGCTTGCATTTTGGTGTCCTTTGGTCAAACCAACATGCATCAAGATATGCAAAAATAACCACTTTTCCCAACAAAAAAATTATTTGCTGCTGAATATGTTTAAAATCTCTGACCAGCAAAAAACATGTGACTGTATATACCAGGGCGGACAAGCAAATTTCCATAACATTTGTGCAGATTGCCAAATTTCCAATTTTTTTTTTGCAGCAGACTGGCAAAGTTTCATAGCATTTTGACAGACTTTGTTTGAAAGATTTTATGGAAGGTATTTGAAAAGTTTCTGCTTTTTTGCAAAAAATATGTTCAGAACCAACAATGCAACTTTTGAGGAATGTCTTCAAAAATTATAAAGGTGGGCTTAAAGAAAGATTTCTCAGTATGAAAAATTGAAATCATTTACTTCAGCAAGGTGAAAATTTTGAAGCGTCTGAAGCATTATTTATCAGGACAAATGTCCACTTTCAATTTTCATCAGATAATTTCAACTGCCATTATCTTTCCAAAATTTCAGAAGACGCTAACAAACTTTTCATTTATACTTTTGATACACAACAGTGAGACCCCCACATACAGACGCCTCAACATGGGGACAATTTGACCTAGGGACATTTATTTTTTAGGAAAAAAATCATAAAAAAGACCTGACATGAGGACATTGACTCGACCTGGGGACATTGCAGGATAAAATTCCAAAATAAATTTTAGGAAAATTGATTTTTATAAGGCTTAATTGCAAGAAACAGATGTTTCCAACCTAAGATATATGCAAGAAAAATTCTTTGGTACTTTTCCCATCATTTTCACTTGTTCCCGTTTCTGTTGAGCCACTTTCCGTGATGGAGTCGTCGATGAGTGTCGATCAGATTCTGGGCCAAGAACATGACTGCTGCCGGTGTTATCCACTCTCTGGCATGGTTCCCTTGGAAGGAACAAAAAACAAACAAAATTATGCTGTTCCATACCACATTCTTTTATGCAATTTATATCGAAGCTTGGGAATCTATGGATAAGCCACGAAATTGAAATCAGACGCAGGACGTAATTAAAGTAAATATTCGGGAAAAGGAAGAAAAAGACTTATTTTTTTCACAGTAAGTGACAAAAACCGGCCCTGAATTATTCCCTGGAAGCTTACAGTGCGTAAAATTAAATATGGAATGAGGTGGAATTTTCTAAATGCGTGTTTAAATTATGTCACGTAGAGTTGACCCTTCTGCGATGGAGGTGGGATTTTTGTTGCAAAATTTGCATCCTTCTTCAAATTAAAGAAAAGGTCTAGGCTGGTAAATATGGCTCAAATACACCATTACAGCACCACACACACACACACACATACAGACGCTAAAACATTTTGAGGTCCCTGTATAGTACAGCCACAATGTTTTTGAGTCACATTTTAATGAAATTTTTCTCAATAAAAAGGTAATTTCCAGATAACAATGACTTTGAGATGACAATATTATAAAATATTGCATTCTATTATTTGAATGATGCCTTATTCTTTTGTTTTTTGGGATTGATTGCTGCATTGTTGTTCTTTTTTATTAAAATATTGTGGAATTCCTAATGACCAGTTCTTAGCATGTTGATTGTTAGGGACCCACTGCCCCAGCGTTATACATGCCTCATTAATCAAGGCATGAGTAAATTGGGTGGAAACATCACCCAAGGACAAGAACTGATGGAAATAGAGAGCCCCATCAGAAAGACAAAAAAAACTTTGACAACTTTTGTTCTTTGGGATTCTGTCCCCATCAGGGTTGGTTGAAGACATGAGGAATGTCTTCAAAAAATTGTAAATGTGGGCTTAAAGAAAGATTTCTCGGAATTAAAATTTAAAATGATTTATTCATTTTAATTTTCAATTTAATTCATTTTAATTTAGCAGGTGAAGCTTCGTCTGAATTGCTATTAGGAAGAAAACCAACTTTCATTTTTCATCAGATAATTTCAACTGCTATTATCTTTTCCAAAATTTTAGATGATGAAGCTAACAGACATTTCATTGCTACTTTTGATACACAACAGTGGCCATGATGAGAAAAAACCTCAAGCCCAACGAACCTCCTTCCAAAAAGACGTGTCTGGTGTTCCTCAAATTATTCCTGCGTTTGTGCAAGCCCAGTCGCAGCCTGTAAATGGGGTCCTTCACGTCCTGAGACTCTCCCACAACGTCCAACCTCGCAATGTCCTTGTTTTCTTGGACCCATCGTTTCATCTGGTCATTCATGAACTTGGACTCGTGGTAGTCGTCGAAATTGAAACCGCCTTCGCCGTCCTCGAAGCCATTCAGGGTTCCTTCTTCAGGAAAGTCGTCGGGATCAATGCCACCGGCCCTGAGCATATTTCTGACATGAGCCTGGCGCTTGGGTCGCTTTTCGTGCCCTGACAGCAGTGACTGATGCTGGCGAATGCCTTGGAGCATTGGGTAAAGGTCTGGTGTGATGAGAGTGTAGCTCAACCATGTCTAGATTGAACATAGTAGAATATTGTTTCAAACAAATCTTGATATCATGATTTATTCCTTATAATAAATGTTTGCTTTTTGGTCACCGTCCAAATGTCTCAAAATGTTACATGCATTCTTTTGTGTATAACAAAGCTTTTTTCTTTACCAAGGCTACAATTACACAAGGCGTGATTTTTTCTGAATTTTTTTTTTTTCACAGGATGAACATGAAATGTCTGTATACAGGTGGTACCTCAATTCAACCCTCATCCATTGCCAAACTGGGGTGAAATTGCAAAGCAGTCAAATTGCAAGACACTTAATGAAATAAAAAATACTGCATATCAATGCAAAAAAAAAGGCCAAAGCAGGTCAAATTGTGGGGCAAGGGTGGAATTGAGAGTCAACCTCCCTGCACATTTGACCATCAAATTTTGGGATGGTCAAATTGCAGGAGGTGAATTTGCAAGGTACCATCTGTATATGAACTATTGTACCAAATAACCAAAGAAATTTCCTGCTTTGACTTATCTTGGCATGTGGGATTTTTGTTTACTTTTTCTCAAACTGGAAGGCATCAGAAAGTGAAAATTTCCTGACAGTTCCATAGAAAATGACCTTCTGCTGTAAAATGGCTAATCATGACATTATAAATTACTCATTGACTCATTCATCTATTTGTTGTTCCATCTGCCAAAACTTTTTTAATTTCGATTTATGAAGTTCTTCTTTTGAATACTTTGTTCTGTTGGATTCATACGTAAGAATGGAAGAGATATACAGTATGTGCAATTATTCATTGTCAAGTTAAAATGCGTATTGGAATATTCTGAGGATATTTTTCTGCGGATATAATCAAGAATGAAAAATGAAATTAGCTGAAAGTTACCTCATTGTTCTTAGAATCTCTTTGTTTGTCCAGCAAATCCTTCAGATTTCCCCATTTGTCACCCGGAACTAGGACAACCGCCGAATCCACATCAACTGCTTTCAAAACATCCAGTTGAAAATCTTGAACCAAAAGACTCAACAAGGCTTGTCGTTGTTGCAGCAAATTCCAACAATCCTCCGACTTGTTAAACTCATCGTTGCCGAGATTTCCATTTTCGACGGGAATATTCTCGCACGCAGTTGCTTTCGAGAACCAAATTTTAACCACTTTTGCATTTTTCATTGAATGCGAGTGACAATTTATCGGAGGTTGTGGGATGACGTTGTTTGCGTTGGTTGAGTTGTCGATTTTTTCTTGAGCCGTGGTCGAAATAACCGCTGAACTGATGCAAATAATGAGTGCCAGCAACATTCTGGAAAATATTCAAAGTACTTGTGGTAATTATTATTCGGTAATGCCAATTTGAAGGATTGGAAAGTTGCTTCAAGTTTTTTTCTTTATCGATAGAAGCAAAAGTCTGGCCGAATATAAAGCGGCAAGTGCGAAGTTTATAAAATTGCGAAACAAAAAATAATGACACTGAATATATCATCACTGACATGATTATTTACTGCGGGGTTTTTGAAGACAATTTTGTAAGAAACTGATCCTAAAGAAAAAAAAAACCTTACAGCATCAGACTTAGGTCAAATTAAAGTTTGGCAAAAGATTTTAAAGCAATCTTCTCGTGGACCAATATTTTTAGTCAGCCAAATGCATATTTTCCTCTGAATTCGAATACACCAGCACAAACCATGGAGAAATTCCTAATTATTTGTGGACAAAATTTGACTTTCAAGCAAAGCTCCAGTATTATATTGCAGTATCTAATTTTTAAATTTAATTGAATTTGCATGAAAAATGTTGCACACCGCTGAATATACCAGAATAATTTATTGTGAGTCCCGCATATCAATAAGATCAATCTTTTTCTGGTGATGCATTTTGTTTCATTCTTTCATTTATTTTTTTTGGGAACCTGATTGAGATGAAATGCAAGACGCGCTATATTTCATTTTTTTAGAAATTGATTAAGATTAAATAACATATAGCACAGCACTTTATTTCGTTCTTTCATGCATTTATTTGGAAACTGATTTAGATAAATACAGGACCACTGCATATTTAAGTCATATATTTATTTATTTGGAAACTGATTGAGATGAAATACAAGCCGCACTCTATTTCATTTATTAATTCATTTATTTATTTGGAAACTGATTGAGATGAAATAGCAGGGCACAGCACTGTATTTCGTTCTTTCATACATTTCTTTGGAAACTGATTGAGATGAATACAGGACCACTGTATATTTAAGTTATACATTTATTTTTTGGGAAACTTATTGAGATGAAATATAAGACGCACTCTATTTCATTTATTTATTTCTTTAGAAACTGATTACGATGAAATAGCAGAGCACAGCACTGTATTTCGCTCTTTCATACATTTCTTTGGAAACTGATTTAGATAAATACAGGACCATTGTATATTTAAGTCATACATTTATTTATTGGGAAACTGATTGAGATGAAATATGAGACGCACTGTATTTCATTGATTAATTTATTTATTTATTTGGAAACTGATTTAGATGTAATACAGGACACAATGTATTCATTTATTTTATTTATTTTATTGGGAACCTGATTCATAAGGGGGACTGAGTGAGTGCAGTTTGCAATCAATCACTATAGTCACTGTGGAATTTCAGCAGCAACACACGCGGACTGTCCACTCTCTTGTATATACACACCTCCTCGAGAGTCATGGCAGTAGCAGGCATCTGGGAATAAGAGACTGATACTCGAGTGCAATTAGCACGCTGATAACGAAAAAATTATTGGCTGAAGAGACTGCGCGAGAAGAGCGAGTCTCTTCCCATAGCAGCTGATCCAACTTGAGTTCATTTGGAAAAATCTTCCCCCCATCTCTTATTTAATTTGGTTTCTGCAGCAGCAGCAGACTGAATAAGGGATATCCCACGACCTGTGTTTCTTTTTCTCGGCTGTCGCTGGAAGATGATTTGTGCAGGAATCAGTCTTCTCTTCGCTCCTGAACCCAGCAGTGCTGCTTCAATTACCCAATTATTACAATTTCCCGCATCTCGTAATGAATGATGGTTTTTAAAAATTCGGTAATGTGATTTCGCGGCAGCAGTTTCCAGCGAGAGATTTCTTTTTGTATATACTGGCGCAGAAAAAAATGCTAGACGTGCTAAAATCAAGATTTTTAAAAACTGGAACCTGAACCACTGCGCAAAAGGACAAAATAAAAATGGTACTGGAAAAGCAAGTTATCGGGAATCGCGCAGAAATCAAATAAAATGTATCAGGATTTTAAAAGCATCTCTGAAAATATTCTTGCGCTAAACCTGGACCCTTTTGGTCTTCATTAATGCTGAAAAGTTACGATATTCGACTTTTACAATGAAATATTGTTACAACAAAGCCATTAATGCCGGTAAAATGGATTCGATATAACAGAAAATTCGTTAAAAGTGAAATCAAATAAAATGGCAGCTATTGGACATAGAGACCTGAAAAATGAATTCATTGAAATCGATTTTTTGTTCGAACAAGATTCCACTGTATTGGATTTTTTGGATAGATTGATAAACAAGCTTTATTTGCCACTTTTCAGCGTTCACAAGTCTCAAAAATTGTTTCCCGCATCCCATCATCCAAATATTGTTTCATTTTTTCATTGAAATTTTGAATAAAAGGCTAAAAATTGTCAAAACGTTTTGCTTTTTGGCTCAAAATGTATTTTTTACACGCGCGTGACAAAGGTTTTCCTTTAATCTAGAATGAAATTCAAGGGGGAAATGTTCAAGTTGAATTATCCCTAGTCTTTATTTATTCCTGCCCTTTTTGAAATTGGCTTTAACTTGCCTTCAACTTTAGTAAACTGCTGACTTTAGTTTGAAGAATAAGATTTGTATAATCCACTTTACTGAATATTATAAACTTTTGCAGAAAGTAAATCCTAAAAAGTTGAAACTCACTTGTTGAACTCACTGTTTAGCCTCACCAACTGTTGGGGAACCAGAACTCGGGCTCAGGGACGTCAGGTCCCAGGACCTGAATTCTGGTCCTGTTTTCCTTCAGGCATCCAATCTCGGGATGCATGACTTCTTGGATGCACTTTTCTCTGCCAATCACAGGCAAGGAAAAATGTCCAATGCTTCAGTCAGGTCAGCTGACTGAAGCATTGTACTAAATCCTGTAAAAACCCAGCATTCTTTAACTCCCAATAATCAGTCATTAAAATTAGCTCTTACAGTAAACTTCCTCCAACTATTCAAACCCCAATTTTTTTGCTTGAATTCTTGCTTTGCATCATTGCACCCTAAATTTGTGTGCACAAATTTATTGTCTTCATTGAATGTGTGTTGCATCATTGCATTTATTGTGATGCATTATTTTTGTATTGTGTTTGATTGTGATTTATTGTGGACTGTGATTAAACCAGACAAAACTATGGTTATTTAATCAAGGTACCCCCTTAATTACATATTCCTGGCCGCAAACTGGCTGATTGCCCTACCTTATTATTTCCCACCTTTTCTTCCACTGCGCTATGGTTCAATTCTTTATGTTGGGTTGATTAATTCCTCAACACCAACATAAGTTGAAGCAAGATTTTTATTTCAGAGGAAGCTATAAGCTCAAGATTGTTATCACCAAAGAAAAGTTAGTTTCAGAAAAGTTGATGTAGAGTGAGAACCATTGGTTGCATCAAATTTTGTTTTCTATACAAAAATGTAGAGAACTTTGCTCTAGTCATTGTGAGACTGCAAAGAATGTTTTAACTAAAATTTGATGAAGCTATGAGCTTTGTAAATTTGCAAATCAGGAGTTGCGCGGTACAAGGAGCATTTTTTTCTTTGCCAATTCTTGCGGATTCGATTTTTTTCCCAGCTGGTTTCATTTTCTGGCTATACCTGATTTTATTCATTGATTTTGTGGTGTACTTTTAGCCTTTTTTCTTGATTATCTGTGATGTGTGTAGAGAAATGTAGTCTCACTCCAACATTTGAACAAAATAGACGTTTTTTGCTGTGCTCTTATTTGCCTGCTGCGTTGATTAAGTTCCTCAAATTAAATTTTGCTCAGGGGCTGTGTAATTATCCTTTCACATTTGATAAATGTAACCTCTGCATAGAAATCTTCAAAGTCAGTCAGCCATTATCAGCAACAATCAACACTGAAATGAATTGCATCGATTTCAAGTTTTATTTCAATATTACATAATCTCGACATTGGAAATCAAAATTCAACAACAAACGACGTCGATGAGAAACTCTCATATTTCAGTCATCTGGGTCGAGCGACGCTTCAATATCGTCACTTCCGACATCGTCATCCACGGACATTGGCAGGTCAATTAAAATCGCATTCCTTTGATTCTCATTTTCTTGTGCCTTCAACACCGTGTCTATAAGATTGTCCTTGGCTTCTCGAATTTGATCGACCACAGTTCTGTCCGATGCACTACTGCTGGAATGTCCCCCACCGAGGAACAGTGGCTGGAAGTCGTGGGCCGCGTCATCAGTGGCGACGATGCTGAAGTCGTCTGCGATGATCGGAGGTGCCTTGCAAACTACACCCGCATATTCCGGTGAGTCCCAAGACACGACCCACTGGTTCGGGAACATGTAAGAGCAGAGTGGGTGCGCCGAGTCTGGGAAATCCGGGGCCGAGTCCATGAGACCCTTGTCCCACCGGGTGAACTTGGGTCGCGTGGCTGGGGTGTACCACATCCAGGACGAGGTCACACTCACCTGAGGCAAGGGATTTACAGTACTGTAAGGTAGGCTTTAGTTTTTTTAAAAGAACGATTAGACCACACACAAAAAAAATAACGATTTCCTACTAAATTGTTCAATTACGTGTACATATTGAAACTTCACAAACCCAAACCTCCGAAGATGTCAAATTTGGGGTCAGTCACTTGTTTCCTTGGATGATGGTGGGGTTCCTTTCCATGAAAAAAAAGTCAGGGTATTTTTGCGCATTATCTCACATTTTGATTTGACTGAAGGTTGCTGAAACTCAGCCTATAGGCAGTACAGTAGTGGCCAAAGTTTGAAAAATTGAAAGAACTTAGGCCTACCCTATTTACTTAAGTCCCATGCATACCATCAGGCCACAAACACACAAGGGTTCTTCTGTAAAAATTTTTTTAAAATTAAAATTGCATCCTCAAGTCAGACGTGCACCCATTTTAACCCACTGGACAATGGAGGGTTCATTTTCATTGAGCAACAGAGTTGGGATTTTTTCAGGGGCAGCGCATTTCAGTTTGACCCAAGGTCACAGAAATGCTCCCATGCAGGTTGAAAAGGCCAAAGTTGGAAAAAAATGTGAGAGGCAAAATTTCTACTGTTTTCAGGATTTTCCCAAGCAAATCCTATTCTAGGAATGTTAGAGAAAATGCCAAATTGTTCAGGGATTTTTTTCATTCAACATTTTCTGCAAGATTAGAACAAAATATTGGAATTTTTCCTGACTTTGGTCTTGGTACAAAAGTAGGATTTTTTTACATTTTCAGTGCTCAGTGGCACACAATTTTGTAAAAATATCCCAACTTTACTGCACAAGGGTTGACTCTAAAAATTCAAAATCTTGAAACTATAAGCACACTCAAATTTGATTTTAGACATGAATTGATCATGAATTCAAATGATTTTCACTATTTCTACTGCAATAAGTTTTCTGATTAAATTAGCCATAAATTCCTCATTGGAACCAAGTATATTGCATACTGCTAAACTGTAATTTTTTAAATGCATACTTGCATTTGGCATGCCCATTTTTTTCTTTTAATTTTTAGAAAATATTGCACTTGGTACTGAATTAAATATGGTAATTTACAATAATGTACTTTAAACTAGATTTTAAGTTATAAAAAATTATGCCATAAATTTGAAATACACTTGAACTTCATTAAATCAAACCCTCCTGATGTCAAATTTGTCTTTAATCCCTGACTGCTGGATCCCTTTGATTACCCACACTTGAAACACATCCTGGGTTAAGTGGTCAAAGTTTGGAAAATTGCAAAGAACTTGAGGCTTTCCTATTTAAATCCTTCCATTGTTCATCCTGAGCTAAGAATACAAAAAACATCCAATCTGGAATTTTTTGCAAATATTTTATCAAAAATTTTGCACAGGAAGAAAAAGAAATAAGACATTTTCTGAAATCAGGCCTTTTTTGATCAGTCCAAAATTTGTTTTACTTATACTTCTGTGCTCTTACTGGGCACAAAATTGGGCAAAAGTATCCCTACTCTGTCACAAAAAAGGTCTAGAAGATACTCTTTTGACACATAGAAATGAGAGGTAATCTTTCACACGGGATTATTTTCAAAATCAATAATTTCACCTTTGCCAAATCGATCCAATAGTGAGCTAAAGAGCCCTTGGATGCAGTTGCGTCCTTCCAGAATTCCCAAGAAGACAGTTCCATCATTTCCGCCAAAGAATCAATTCTCAGCAAGTTTCCTCTGATTGCCAAATATTCGCAAATTTCCCTTGCAGTTGCCACATCCACTGCATAGCTTGACTTATAATAACACTTCTTCTCAGCTTTTCCCTGTGTATGAAAAGCAAAAGATACTTCAGTTTGCTCAAACAAAATTGGCGTATTATATACTTTCCCCTTCATGAATGATCAATGTTAATGTTTTTGTCATCAAAGTAAATGCAGTAGGAATCTGTTATCTAAATTATGTCAGTTTTTATTTCCTTACTCTTAATCTCCCAATTGAAAAATGTCAAGAAGACTTTTCCTTATGCTTCACTTCTGGCCTTATACCATATTTACTCAAGTACCACACGCCCTTGAGTAAGGCATGCAGAGGGGTTTTTTGGTTGGAAATTTGACTAAAATCTTATATCCGCGTAAGATGTACACCCCAATTTATAGTGAATCTAAAAACACAAAATTTCAAAAATAAATTCAAAAAATTTGACTTTAGACATGAATTGAACAAAAATCAGATCAATTTTCAACTTTATCAGTACAAAAAAGTTTTCTTGTTGCATTTGTCCAAAATTTCTCCATCATAATTAAGTATAATGCACACAACTTCCTAAAACTTCTTGAAAAATGTGTACCTGCTTATGACACGCACCCCTTTTTTTCTTCTGAAATTTGAGAAAAAAGGTGCACATGATCCTTGAGTAAATACGGTACTATGGTTACAAATTTGTGAAGAGTTTTCTCTGAATTATTATTCCTGGGATGAAAAATTTGGTCCAAAAATAAATTCTTGTGAGATTTTGTCATGTTTGTCATGGGTACATTGGATCCCAGACAAAGGAATTGAATTGTGCTGCCATCAGAATGCAAGTTTTGAATAAGAACTCAAACTCTTTTCAGAGGAGTTCATTCTCATTGCCCAGATTGTCATTTGGCTGTTTGTTTGAAATGGTAGCATAAATTGTAAGATTGGCAGGTTGGTTAGCTTAGAAGAATGCATAAGGCAATTTAACGTTAACACTAGATTCTCAATTCTCTTCTCAACCTGGAATGAATGCTTTTATGCCCAGGTACTCAGACTGGGTCCAAAAGAAATCAAGTGATTTCTTCCTGGCTCAGGATTGGCCAATTCAGAGAAAATTGAGGAAGTGATGAACACTTATTGGCATTGGGTGAGACTCAGTGGGTCTTGCCAAAACAGGATTTTGGAAAGGCTCACTGGCCTCAAGATGCAACAAGTTTTCTTGGCTGGTTGCTGCTGGATGCAGGAGCTACGCCACTTTGGGACTTGACAATTTTACTAGGAATTGATTTGAGACAAGAAAAAAACAATTGTTCTGCTTTCCATTTAGCCTTGTCAAAAAATCTTCAGGAATATGAAAGTGTAGTACTTCAAATACAGTAAATATAAAACCAACCACACCCTCATTTGCTTTGATATCAGGACACAATCTGAATATGCAAAGATCATATTCAAGATCTACTTCACCCAGTTCAGTAGAGTACTGCATTTCGAAAAAAAACTTATTGGTGCTAGACAAACAAAAAATAATCAGCCAGTTAGACAAGCATTGAAAACATGAGCAATTGATTTCCCATTCAATCAAGTATCAGCGAAATCCCAGTCTCTGATTGATGGAATACACAAAAACCCAGGACACTTTTAAAAAAATGTTTATGACTTCGAAAAGTTTCTTGTCATTTTCAATCGAAAACTGACCTGGCTCCAGAAATACGGACAATATTCCTCAGGGGCCTGACAAATGAACCTCTTTTTGGCACTGCATCCAGCTTGACCCCATCGGTTCGGAACCAGTGCAAAATTCGGGGCCGTGGATCTCCTGAACCCAGTCCTTATTTGCGCAGAAGAATCATTCCGTTTGGGACCCCAATTGGTGAATACCATCGGCTGCCCTGACAACCACGCTGGTGCCCGCCGAACATCGGGTTCAGCATCAGCGATTGACGGGGATCCCGTGGTACCACTCATGGTACCACTCGTAATGGCATTAGTAGAAGACTCCGGATACTTGCGAGTGGAAGAAGCAGCTGCTGCCGATTTTGATGGGCTTATGGTGCGCTTTTTAAACCTTTTAGTTCTGGGCTTGAATGAAAGCGAGGTTTCAGGAACATTTTGATGGAGCAGAGGGTAAGTAGATTTGGTCACTGGAGACTCCACTGCTGCTGGGTAGTCCAGATGTCCTCCTGATGATTGCAAGAGCAAGCAAGAATTTTGGTAGAAAAAAAAGAAGGAAAAAATGAAGTACAGCAGTGCCCCAAAATGTGGACATAATTACAGTGAGACCCCACATGCAGACACCTCAACATGTGGACAATTTGACATCTGGACATTCATTTTTCAATGAAAAGGCATAAAAAGGCCAATTATATGAACAAGGACTCAACATGTGGACATTGCATAATAAAATTGCCAATAAGCATCGGGAAAATGGATTTTGATTAGGCTTTATTGCAAGTACAGTTTAACCCCATTAACCAATTAACCACCACCCTTGCTTCCTGCCACTTTTTCCTCCCAAACAAATCTTCCCAAGCTTGAAGTGATGGGAAAACCCCATTTATCAGCCATCCACCAACCAACCATGTTTTTTGCCAAACAAACAGGATCTTGGCACTGTTTTTTACCCTGATAAACCACCAATTTTTGGCTCCTCTCTTCAACGCTTTATATTTCTGGGTAATATTTTTTAAAATTATTTGTTTTCTCCATTTGAAGATGCAAAGAATGGGAGATTTATGTCCCCACAAAAAATTATGAAGAGTCATCTTCATCAAAAGCAGGATGGGGAGGGATAGAGGTTGAAACATAAAAAAAATGAAATACACTTACTCATTCATTAAATACTGTGGCAACGCCTCCCTTGTTAAATTGCCAACCCCATTAAAATGCCAAAATTCTGCTGCACAAACGTTGGCGGTTTAACAGGGTTTGACTGTAACTGATATTTCCCACCCTAAAATCTATGCAAGAAAAATTCTCTGATATTTCTCCCATCATTTTCCCATCCATTCAGCTAATTAAAAACAATGCCTATAGCAAAGAGGGTCTTCCTTCTCTCTTTGTGACCAGAAGTCAAATGCACAGTTGATATAAGCGTCTTGCACAAATATTTATACATACGTCAACCTCTATTACATAAATTGAATGAGTCTCACCCAAGAATGAATTTTGACTCGGGTCAACCCCGATCCACACTATGGGTTGCACAGCTGAAACCCCCACAAAAGTATTCTCTTCTTCACTCAAGATCCAAACCAGACTGGATCCGTTTTTCTGGTCACACAAATCCACTGCATCTTGACGACCGTACAAGACGGGTTCGGGGTCGAACCAGTAGCAGCTCCCGTCATGCCAAACCCAGGTCGAGTCCGGGCACTCGATGGGCACACACGCGTCCTGCTGGGGGTCGATTTTGTCAATATTTTTGAGGTCGTTTCCGGTGCCTTCAAATGTGATTTTCTTCCGGTATCCTTCGCCGCAAACGCATGTGAATGACCCCGGGGTGTTGACGCACACGTGGTTCCCAGGACAGCGAGCTTTTCCTAAAAGCAATGAAGACAAATCATGAATCAATTGAATTCTTGGACTGCAAAGGGTTTGTTTCCATTACGCGGTGAAATCGGGATTTTCTCGGTTGGTCCCGCGTTTAATTTTTCTTGAAGGCCACAAAAGCTAAGCCAGGTCGCCTTGGGGAAAGTCAGACTTTTTCTGACAAAAAGGTGCTGCTAATATTTCTCAAAGTTGGACTTTTTCCGCTAATCTTTTTCTGCCTCTAAAGAAGAATTCTCCATCTGGCACCCAAAATGAAAGGGCTACAAATCCAAGAAAAATGCAACTAATGCAGAGAGAGGCTAAAAAAAAAGGCTCAGCCTTGGTGATGCATTTTTTTTAATTTTTGGGCAAAATTTTTCTGTGGATATTTAAAAAATACATCGGGATTTTGCTGGACTTTGCCCTGAATGGATTGTTACTCTTTTGTTTTAAACTCTGTCCTCACAGACACAAAAATTTGCAGAAAAAGTCCAACTTTGCTGCCCAAGGGTTAAATAATCAAAGTTTTATCAACAATTTCAAGAGATTACTACAGTTATTAGGAGCAAGATTTAGTTTGAGAAAAGTCAGACAGACTTTTCTCAATTTATCATGCCACAGAAAATGTCCAGTGGACCAGCAAACAACTTCTGCAGGCCTGCACCAGTCCACAGACAGGTTGGGGTACACTGTTGTAGATACATATATATATATATATATATATATATATATATTGTATTTACTTGAGTACCACGCACACCTTTTTTCCCAAATTTCAGAAGAAAAAAAGGGGTGTGCATCATAAGCGGGTACAAAATTTTCAAGAAGTTT